GGGAAAGGTCTAGTTACAGGTCTGTCACGGTTGTGGTCCGGCAGCAGCGTAGGTAAGAGCAAAGGCACAGACATGGATGACGAACCTGAAAGAACAAAACGCTGGGAAGGAGGCTACGAAAGAACATGGTAGGCCCTCCTTTTTATTCGTTAGCCTGTTCTTCCTTTTAAAAAAAGGTGTTCCTTTAGCCTTTGCAATACATCCCCGTGCAGGCTTTGTTTCAGTAGCGGTTTGTTTTGTGCAGGGAAATTCTTAAAGAAGATGAGTCCGGATCGCTGAAAGCAACCATTGAGGACATTCTTTTCAAGGCTAAGCGAAAAAGGTATTCTGTATCACCAAGAATATTGAGGAAATACTGTTTTGGTGAATTATAAGGTCTTTGTTATGAAACTGGATCCTTTAGGTAGACTGAGCATCTCAGCATGCCTGCAGTATAATTTTGGTCTTCACTCCTTCAAAACTTGAGATGCAGACCTCTGTCTGCCATCTGTTAGTTAAATCAGGAAGGAAACCCGAGATTTATTTTTATCTTGAGTTTCTTTTAAGAGTGAGTAGTCCAGGGAGTTTAGATCTTGATCTGATATGCTGTATGAAGTAGTGTAATTGCAATAATTGGACTGTGCAAAGAAAATCCTTTACCAGTTTTCTCAAATGTACAAATCCTACTTTAAGCTGTTTATTGACCTGGTGGCGCTAGATTCTTGTTTTATGTCGTCAGAAGAATTGGTAGACAGAATCAGTATTTCTTTCACCTGTTACAGTAAAATGTTCAAATTTATGTGAACTTTCAAAGTTTCGTTAAACTTGGTCAAAAGAACTGTGCTTTGTTTTGTTTTCTGAGAGTCGTTGGATCTTATAATCTCCCCGTTTGTTTCTTTTCAATGGAAGTAAGCGTCCATGGTTAATGATCATTTCAAATGTGCTGGAACTGTGGGATTGGAGTCTGATTCAGGATCGTTCATTCATTTGCATCTTACTTTAAAACCTTCTGTGTTTTATTAGACTCTATGAGCACCATGGACAAGTTCGACTTGGAATGGTATGTTAATATCTTACCCTCGGCTGTTCTGTGTCCAAAACTACTTGGACTGAAGTAGTATGCCTACTTCAGTGGCAGTGCGGGATGTGAGGTGTTAATAGCTTTAGAGGTTGAGGTTTGGTTAGTTTCCTGTATCAGGACATGCTTTGCAGCTGCAGTCGGTTCGTACACATTCTTGCTGTTGTGTTTTCTCTGTGCAAACAGATGGGCATAGTTTTAAGTGAATTGTTAATTGTAATATTGCTTTATGAAATGTTGAGTTCCTCAGGTGAAGAAAGTAAATAAGTGCAAGCTATGATTATTTGGTAACTTCCCTTGAGAGCATAAGAACAGTGAGTATTAGTCACAAAAGATTCTTCTGCTTCATTTGGAAGGCAAAGTGGAACAATACTTGACTTTTCAGCTGCTTTTGATTGCATACCCTTAAAAGCTGTGGTTTGGTTTAGTATTCAAAGTTTTCCCTCTTTGACATAGGAAGTAGTTGCTATTTTAAGAAAATGAACTAATGAACCATTTGTTTAAACAATTGTTCTGTGGGTGATAAAACTTGATCTTTGTCTTAAATTGGGAACTTGTACCATTAGAATTGTTATTACGTTGCTACTGCAGATGCGTCACCTTTATGTGGTAATTGATGGATCAAGAACTATGGAGGACCAAGATTTAAAACCCAACAGGCTTACTTGCACTTTAAAGGTATTTGTGTACTCAGAAGTTTTCTCTTATTAATTCACTGTTCCTGTGTGAATCGTTTCCACGTTGCATTTAGAAGAATGGCAGTCTCCTGTGACTAGGTTACTTGCATAGCCTCGTTTCATCCCTACTTTTTTCCCTTGTTTATGTTGCTAGCCTATAATTTTCCTGCAATAGTTTGACTGTGTTTTTTTGAATAGTAGAGCCTGTGTAAGATGAGTCTGCCTTGCAGAATTGCTACTGTGTAGTGAGAGCAGTTCCTGAGGATGTGTTATGAAAATGTGATAAAGAAGTATATGGAAATGGAGCTGAAGTGTTGCCCATAATAAGGGATGGGAAGAGAACAACCGTACTTTCTTTAAACGTTTAGCAATGTTTATTTTTTCTCATGTTTGTGGCTTCATAAATTCTGATTTGAGTGGATGCTAGACAGGCTTTGCTGTTTCTAAATGTGGAGAAGTGAAATTGAATTCTGCAAATCCTATAGGATCTTCCTTTATAACATTAAGCATTGAAATCCTGGGTTTTGAATATTTGGTACAAATTAATGCTTTTTGGTGTATTTTAAAGCTGTATTTGAATTAGCACTCATCTAGAGTGTTAGTATATGAAGTGAGTAAAATGAGATTTCTTGAACTTGCTTTGCATAGATAATATAGGAAGGAGAAGAGTGAAAGGGCTAAAACGTCCTAGAGGAGAGGGAAGAGAGTGGTAGGGAAGGCTCACGCTCGCGCTCTCTCTTTTTAATGGCACTGAATGCTTGGCAAGTATTAACCACTTAATGCATGTGGAATGTGTCTGTATTTTTAACAGTCTTAACTCTTCTTTGTAGTTATTGGAATATTTTGTTGAAGAGTACTTTGACCAAAATCCTATTAGTCAGGTATGTACAACCATATGACAAACAAATTATTGTTACCACAACTGATTACAGAACTAAAACCTATTCTGAAGGCTCTAGTTTTGCTTTTATTTTTGACATATCTAGTAAACTGTTTTCAATTGATACGTTTCTTTCCCTCCCTTTCCCATCAGTCTGGTGAAGTTCTTGGTTTTTTGCATTAATTAGTGAAAATAGGAACACATCTATTCCTTTTTTTTCCTAAATGTGAATCAGAACACAGAAGACTTGATTAGACTTTATTTCAGCATTTAGAATTTAGAAATAATTATTTTTGTGTTTTATGACAATGAAGATGCAGGAATGTACGTTAACTGACGCATAGCGTTGTGCTGTTGTTGTCACACTTATAAGAAAGCCTGCAGAGTTAGCGAATCGGTGCTTTGTCTTGTTTACTACTTATTTTTGGATCAAAAATATAAATCAAGTCGATTTTTATTTCTTAACAAAAATCTTATCTTTCTCTTTTCTTTTTCAGATTGGCTTAATTGTAACGAAGAGTAAAAGAGCTGAAAAAATGACAGAACTTTCAGGTAGGCGAGTAGTATTCTCTTTAAAATTGGAGTTCTGTTGTCGTCTCTTGTACTGTAAAGCCTTAAAAATTCCATCTGGATGACTATTGATAGTGAAGTACCGTTAGCATACTATTTTCAATTTAAAGGAGAAGTTGTTGCAAGTTATCTGAAATCGGAGTCTTTACTTCAATCAGTTTGGATCCAGAGCTGCCTTTGTGTGTTTGTGCCTGATCAAATGTTATCCAGGATTCAAGGGAAATATGTTTCGTCTCGCTTATAGTTAATATCTTACCCTGTTTGTGAACTTTGTGTTTGATGACATCTGTGTATTCTGTGAGATTAGACAAGATGTTAAGAAGCAAGATTTCTTGGATTACTATATTCTGCCACTAACAAGTCATGTGGTTTCAGAGAAGTAGTTTAAATTCTTGTCTCTTCAGCCAGCTATAAACTGGAGCAAATTTATTGAGGAGTTTGAGGATCAATCAATGCTTGAATGGTACTTTGAGGATAACAGAGGAAACTAAACACTGTTTCTACTGAAACACTTTGAGACAGTTCACGCTGTGATTCTTTCTTTCATGTTAAGCGCTTAATAATATACAGCAGTGATTCTCTTTTTGACCTTTTGACTTTCTAACAATTGTGAGTGCCTGTAGAATAAATGTATTTCTGATAATAATAAACTGTTCTCCTACACTCTGACCAAGGGGTCAATTTGTGAGAAGCGGAGACCGACAGGTAACAGGTTGAAAGTTGTTGCTGTACAAGTGAAATCTATAAAATACATATTTTAAATATTTGTATTTTTTTAACTTGTTATTTCAGGTCAATGTTTTATTCCTGTACAGGTAACTCAAAAAAACACATAACTGCTCTGAAGAAAGCAGTAGATATGAACTGCCATGGAGAGCCATCTCTGTATAATTCCCTAAATTTGGCTATGCAGACTTTAAAGTTAGTATGTAAATAACTTTTGTTTTCTCTGTTTGGTTTCCTCAATCAGTATAATGCTAATGGTAAACTTTTTGGAGGGCAGCGATGGTTGTTTTAATTAGTGTCTTGCATTGTGCTGGCCAGAGTCTTTAAAGAAGGCTTTGCGTCCTTTTACGTTACAAGCTGTAAGAGGCTAACTTCTGCACTGCTATCATATTTGAAAGTCAAAGACAAGACACTTCTGTTTAGAGATATACCTCTTATGAAAAGCTGCATCATATAAAAAAAAAAAAAGATAATTTTAAATTATATATGAATACAGTGATGAAAAACCTTACTTACAATTAAGTTTTACTGCAGGGCTAAGGTATGAGAGAGGGTGGAGTTGGGGACTAAACAAGGTAAGGGAACAGGAGAAGAAACAAAATTGAATCACAGTTTTCTGGTGAAGTTTTGATATACTTTGAAGAGATAGATTTTGGGTAGGCTAGACTTCTTAAAACAGTTTCATAAATTTTTGCCCTGTGAGGCACTGAGAGGGTAAAAACATTGGTGGGAGGATATACTTAACAAATAGTTATAGCTAGTAACACTGGCAGAAAAAATCTGGTAGTTAATGTCATAGAAAATTATTTGAACCTATAGTTGGAGAAGGGTTTTCATTTAAGAACTTTAAAGGGAAAGACAGTAGTTAAGAGTAGTAGATTTACCCCATCAACTGATCAGAGATGCGTGTTTGTTTTTGTTTTTTGTTTTTCTTCTTCTAAGAAGTTGAGAAGACTTACTGCATTGTTGCTAGTTTGAAGGTGAATTTTACTTGTGAGAGTATGGGTAAGGTATGGGGTAACTTAAACGTTACAGCAAGCAATCAGATGACGGACACAATTAAATGTTGCATGTTAGCTATCGTAAAGCTCTGACTTTATGGCAGAGGAAATCCTGGTTCTCAGAGAAGGATCTTACCACAGTCTTTCGTAAAATGTAGACGTCTTCATATCCTGTCTTCTTCTGACTTTAGTACATCAAAGTCCTTGAACTTTAGCCTAGTGTACATAGGTAATTTAACTGTATACTTTCTTTAGGCATATGCCAGGACATACAAGCAGAGAGGTTTTGATAGTCTTCAGCAGTCTAACAACATGTGATCCAGCCAACATCTATGATCTAATTAAGGTACAGAAGTGAAGTTTGACTACTGTTTCAAACCTCCAAACTATTAGACTAAAACCAGACAGTTACAATGCTATAACCCGTAAATTTTCATTTAAAACTTTGCACCTTTTTACCATTTTCAGTTCTGCTGATGAATTTGAGTATGCTTTCTTTTTCCATGTGAAGTGTTTAAAAGCGGTTAAGATCAGAGTATCTGTCATCGGTCTAAGTGCTGAAGTTCGAGTTTGTACCGTACTTGCCCGAGAAACAGGTGGTATGTATCTGAAGTTTTGTAGTTACACTACTAATACAAGTTTAAATTTGAAATTAACTAACTGGTTTGTCATATTCCCTTTAATGCATTTTTATTGTTTAAAGATAATTATTCTGTTGTGCTGGCAGAAAATTTAAGGGCTTCTCCAAGTTACGAAACGCATAACGTTTAATGAAGTAATTATCAGCTTGTAGCTGCTTCTTTGGAAAGAAGAAATATATCTAAAGCCTAGTGTTCTACGGATAGAGCTATATGATGTGGAACTCTAACGTGTTAACATCAATTACTCTAATAGTAACTCTTACAATGTAACTACTGGTAACGTTGGAGAAAAAGCTCTAGGCCTTCTTATGTAACTATCTAAACATTCTGGTGTATTTTTTATTTTATTTTTAGTGAAGGGTTGGCTACTTTTTAATATTTAAGTCATTGTTTTGTTATTTGGAGAAATATGTTTGTGTTACTTGCTAGGTTATAAATTAATAATCTGAGAGTAGGTCTTTTCTTTCTCTGTGACAGGAACGTACCATGTTATTTTAGATGAAACTCATTATAAAGAACTGCTGATGCATCATGTTAGTCCTCCACCTGCCAGTTCAAGTACTGAATGCTCCCTTATTCGAATGGGTAGGATATGGTTTTGTTAAATTCCAGGTGCAAGATTTAAGAGTCTTTTTCTCTCTTTGTGTCTTTTGTTTTGAAGTAATGCAGATGGTTAGAAGCACGTTAAAGGCATTGCACAATTGGTTCTTTTTGTTTTAACGCTTCTGTTTTGCCAGGTAGGTTTCAATTTGCTTAATGTTGTACCTGCAAAGTATTCAGCTTCTAAATAAAGTTAAGAATTAAAACAAATAAGACTCCACACTCAACTGCAGTTGGAAGCAATAAGATGAAATGACATTGCTTGTACAGTAATTGGTATAAATTTAGTGTTTAAAAACTTAAGGGTGAACAACAAGGTATTTTGTTTCTCCCTCTATTTATCTCTGTGAAAGGCAACTGTCATAAGCTTCATTTGCTGTAACAGCCTTCTGTTTTGCTATGTAATGGGTGTTTGTATGGAGCACTGTCATGTTTTTCCTTTCAACAAATGGACTGGGTGCCTTTTCTTCTTCTGGTGTACTTCTCATTAAATTTAAGCCTGACATTAAACCAGAGCAGAAACGCTAATGCCACTGACTAGAGGTTTTTGTTCTTACTTTCATCCATCTGTTTTCATAGACAAGATCGTATATATTTTTATACGTGAACTTGAATACTTAAGAGATTTGCTCATTACAGATAAAGCTTGAGCAACAGTAGGAAAAAAAAAAACGGCTCACTTGAGATAAGCTGTAAAAATAAATGGTATGTAAAGACTGGTGTTGTCTGTGGCCTCCATACGATGGATAAGACTATGCCCATTTTATACTGCGCTTGGAAGGAGAGTATATACTTAGTATATAAACATATTTTTTTCATTAGTTAAAAATTATTGTTCATGAGCACTCATACAGTGCTCTTTCTGCTTTCCTACCATTGCACATCATTTACTTTTTAATTGTTCTTCAGAAATTGGATTCCAGTGAACTAATCTTCCCATTACGTTTCTAAACAGACTTTTTTCCATTGGGGAAAATAAGTGAGGGATTTGGTGGTGGATATGTAGATAGAGACTTTTAGGAAGGATTTCCTACCTGGTAAGAGCATATTGCTTCTTGTAATAACAAAAAAAAAAAAAAAAGATAGAAGTTAATGTTTAGAATAATCTTTGAACTTCTGCATTCAGTTAGAAACTGAAAGATTACTAGTATGTTTAAAGTTGGTAATATGGAATGTTTTTCTCTTAAGGTTTTCCTCAGCATACTATTGCGTCTCTATCTGATCAAGATGCAAAGCCATCCTTTAGCATGGCGTAAGTAGAGCTGATTAAAATCCAGTATTAGAATTCAAGGATAATCTAGTTATATTTAGAAAATCTGCTTTTTGGTGAAAATATGACAAAATAGCATGAAAAAGGACTAGCAACTAATATGTTGTGACTTCTCAGTAGTCTTGCTTTAACTTGCACGTCCTATACCTGGTCCTATGTGTTCTTCTCTTTTAAATACACTTTTTAAATTTTACATTGTAAAATTTTCGAAGGTAGTGAATGGCTTTTAGATGTCTGTGCAGTGACCAGAACACAAGGGTCCTACAAGGTATCTAAATTATTACCACCAATTTTACTAGCATTTTTACATTCGAGTATTTTCTTATCATTATAAAGATATACTCATGATAAAGAAGGATGTTGTCTGGAATTAAGTTTTTTATTTATTGCTTTACTGATGTGTAGTGATATTAAATGGAAGTTTAAAACACAGGCCTCAGTTTGATTAATATAACAGTGCTCTTCTCTGTGAAAGGAATCGTAGTCTTCAAGGCTGCTAGAGCAGCATGAGTTTTCAGAAGGAAACAATGTCTGCTGTTTGAGGGAATAAATATTAACGTGCCTCATAAAGTCAATACAGAATATTGGTGGGGAGTAGTAGTTTCATAACTTTATTTTTTAAAGATAACTTGATTCTCCTTTCCTTTATGTGGGGAGAATTTGTTTTTTGTTCTGCTTTGGTGGGAAAGTGTGGTCGCTGATGTCTCACCCAGTCAATTGTTTTCTGATACGTCTATACACATAACAGGTACAGAAACTTTTTAAACAATGTTTGTTCTGAGGACTGTGTAGTGTTACCGGTATTACATAGTGTTACCAGTTATGTAGTATTACCAATATCGCCATTATTAATGGTGATATTTATACAGCTTGAGAGCATGCCATCATTCAGAAAATGGTACTGGTTTCTTCCTCCACCCTCCTCTCTCTCTCTCTCTCTCTCTCTCTCTGCTCCAGGCAATTGGAAAACAACAGTGAGCCAGGTCTTACACTGGGTGGATATTTCTGTCCCCAGTGCAGAGCCAAATACTGTGAACTTCCTGTGGAATGCAAAATCTGTGGTGAGTAGCAAGAATAGCTGAGCGGATGAATTATGTGCTAGTGATAAGATAGTTAAGGGGCAGGAAAACTTAACTGTGCAGGAACGAAGGTTTGAAATGTCGTGTTGGTGCAAGGACTCTCAGGATTCTACCTGTAGTGATAAAGCTATATCAGATTGTTAGTTGTAAACTGAAGTGGGCGTGTGTGGTTGGTTGGTGGTTGTTCCCCTGTCCTGAATTCCTTATGTATTCAAAACTGTTACTGTCAGGGGAAGGCTTGGGTGGATGGTATAAGTATATTCTGTTCAATTTCACAGAATACGTATTTTGCAATAGTTGTATCAAAGTTTTTTGCTACAACAAGAGGATCAAGATGATGAGGGAGAAACGCAGGAATTTGCATCAGTTTTTTCATACCAACAGTGGGTTAATTTCAGCAAGCTGATAGTGTACTTAGAAATCCTATATATCAGCAAGAGATTCCCCACAGCTGCAGCTGTCAGCAAAACATGAGGTTGAAAGTTTATGCTGCACATGAGTGAGTGACGAGCAAGTTTGTGTCAGCCCATGCTACATCATAAGCCTGCGAAGTAGGCCTATGGCACGGCTTGGCAGTATTACAGCAGGCTGCGGAATATTTTAATTGCAAATTTAGAATAAATATATAAATTGCCTATTTTTTTTTTATTTTAATTTATATTTGGATTTAATTCTGGAAATGATTACAGATTTGGATTATAGAAGCTGACAAGCCAATTTTTTTATTATTAAGTTCTGAAGCACTGACTTATTAAGCATGACTTTTCCCTTTTGCTGTTCCATTTTGTTTAGTTTATAAAAGCTTTTGAAGAAGTTCTGTCTTGTAATAATTCTGACGTCTCTTTATTTGCAGGTCTTACGTTAGTGTCTGCACCTCATCTGGCTCGATCTTACCATCACTTGTTTCCTTTGGATGCCTTTCAGGAAGTTCCCCTGGAAGAATATCAGGGGGAACGGTATGTAAATCCTATGTGTGATAATGAGTATACCTGTGGACCCTGTAGTCTTTTTCTTAAAGTAAGAGTAGCTGGCAGTAGCTTTTGTACTGTTGGTGGCACTGTTGAATGTTTTGGGGTTTTGGTCATCTCTGGTAGTAAAAAATGTTTGTAGTTTTCATTAGCAGTTATCCTGTGTGTTCAGCTGAATAGCTGAAATAATTCCTATACATTGTTATTATCTGTGAGATTAAAAACTTGTTTTAAAAACTTGTCACTTCTTTCAGCAAAAATACACAATTTTGCTTTGTAGGTATTGTCAAGGCTGCCAGGGAGAAATGAAAGATCAAAATGTAAGTATATTGAACTGTTGAAACTTGCATTGAGAGGAGTCAGAAGCAGAGATAATCTTTCAGAGGAGTCTTTTTTTTTTTTTTTTTTTTTTTTTTTTTTTTTAAGGCCGGAGAAATCTCTGTGGCAGTTTCTCTGGTGGCTAGATAGAGTTTTCAGTCATACAGTTTTGCCTTTTAAACTAGATGCTTTACGTGTGCGGGAAGGGATTGCTCATGGAGTTGCATAAATAAGCATGCACTGTTAGCCACTTTATCTACAGCAACTCAAGCTCAGCACTTTAGGTGTTTGGTGTTAGCTGTTAGAACCCTTTATTCGGTTGGGTTTCTGTGATGTGATGTGTTTACGTTATCTTGATGACACAGCTACTGCCCTACTGTAATGGTGATATTTTTCTTCTAATTTATTTTTCAATCTTTTCTACACAGGTTTATGTATGTAAAGTATGTCAGAATGCATTTTGTGTGGAATGCGACTTGTTTGTTCATGATTCTCTGCACTGCTGTCCTGGCTGTATTCACGAGCACCCTACTCCTGCATCTGTATGATGCTTTCTCTTTTTGGGGGTTGTCATATCTGTTTCATTCTTGCATGAATCTGTTGTGTTTATTCAGCCATCGCTTTCACTGAGGCACATCAAAACAAGAAGGAAGGCCTAGATGAATACAAAAGGATAAACGCTGTCCTGGGAGCAAATTTAATTTTTATATAAGGTGTGAATGATTTTTTTTTTTTTTTTACTGTTAATATATTCATGGCTCATCTGTATTGGATTTGTTTTCTTTGTTCTTGTTTGAAAGGCTCTGATTTTTTTCTGAGTATTGTGGGTAGCATGTAAATTTGTAAATGTAAAAGTGATAAAATTGGTTTGTATGTTAACGCGATGATTTACGTTTGTTTCATTGTTTGTTTAAAAAAAAAAGCCTTGAAAATATATTTCACGCATTAATTATTATAAGCTCTTGTTTTAAGTGGAGGGTGAAGTGTTCTGTTAAATCCTATAGAGCAGAATATTTTTGTATAAAGTTAACAAAGAAATCGTTGAGCAATTAGTTGGAAGGCATTTCAGAAAGAATTAAAAATACAAGCTAGCAAAAAAGTAACCCCCGACTTATGCAATTCCCCATTTTTTTTTATATTTACTACATACAAAAACCCCATATTATTTTCCCAGTTTTCACAAGCAGTTTTTGTTTCAAACCCTTTAAATATGCAAATTCTCTCTTGTTAACCTAGCTCCTTATGTGCTTAGTCTAAGGTTTATGCCCGCTGGCTGGCCAGGAAACAGGAATTCTGCTGTATTTGGGGCTGGGGGGAAGGAGGGTTTCACAATCTGTGTGTGTTTCTGTGCAGAATGAAACAAAAACCTTTATAAACCCTTTGTGGAATCATGTGATTGCAGTGCCTGTTAGCCTGATGATTGGGTTATTTAGCTGAGATGTAGGTAATGCGTATACATAAGGCTGTACCGAAGAACTAGCAGAAAAAGGACAAAAAGGGTTTTGATGTGGTTTCATAAGCCGTTCCAAGCCAGAGGAATGCCATAACCATTTGGCTCTTAGTTATTCTGATGTGAGTGACAGTCCCATGGCATGATGTTTTCTAACAGTATTTTTGCCTTCACAATCAGCATTTCCCGGGGGGAGGAGGAGGTGAGGGAAGGTTTTGACACACAATTTTAATCTATTCTAGCTTTTTCACTTGCCAGATACCAAAGTAATACAATTGGAAGTAAAAGTTGTGTGTATTGTGCGTGGCTGTATACTCCATTATCTGCTTGCGATCTGCATAATAATTTTGCTTGTCCTTTTTCTCTTGTCTCATTGAATAGAAAGATCAGTTCAGACTAGGTTCTGAAAAATGACTATCAAGGCGCTATTTCTCTGATATGTAATGAAATTTAGCTGTGGCCTTTGAACTTAAAGCAACATGAGGAAAATGTGTCCTCCTTCTGTACTCTTTTCGGGATTCACTGGATCCCGGTTCTGTGCTTGTGGGAAGATACTACCCACTTAATTCTTGTGTATTTCTTCTTTACTGGATCTGCCACAAGGTTAGTCAATCAGTGAGGTTATTAACAGGCCTATGAGAAATTCTTTTATTTCCTGAAGGTGTTGCATAATCGGGTTCACACAAGAAATGTTAAGAGAGGAGGCAAAAAGACAAAAACATCCTGTAGGGCTGGGGGAAAAAATACTATAAAGAGAAGTTTGAAGCTGAAGGCGCATTGGGACAGAGCACTGCTGTTCACTGCTATGAGTTGGATTTCTGAAAGGTAAGGGCCCTTGCTTTATCGTGGACCTTGAAGGAATAAAAGTTGCAACCTGAATTAAGTCCTAACTGATTACCAAGACTATAAATGTTGCAAATATATTTTAATATAAGTAAATGTTTGGTTTTATTTTTGCTTGACAGCCGTAATTCCAAGAATTGGAGTGGGATCCCATTCTGCCTAGTGCACCATTAAGAACAGTGTTAATTGTAGCCTGTGCAGACTCCTCACTGAGGGAATGAGGGTATAGGCATCTTACCAAAAAACTCAACAAATTTGAACTAGAGTCAATGTTTGGTGCTTAAGAAAAGTATATATGATCCCTATAGCGCAATTCTTAAAAGTAATTTTTCAAAATCTAATAGAACTTGAAGACTTACTCCTTTGGATTTAGGGGGAGTTTTGCAGCACTTTCTTTTTGTCTAGGGATTTCATAGCCCTTAAATTATTTAACACATATTTTACTATGAGAGGGGATTCAGGTAGCGTGATTTCTACAAACAGCAAGAAAGAGTTCAAAACAGCCTGGAAATTTTGAATTTAGGATCATTTGGGTACGTGTTTTAAATCCATTCAGATCCCTCAATTATTTGAGAAAACAAACCAAAGCTCTTTGGAGGTTGGAGGAGAGCAGAAATTGGCTATTACGTATGTCAGAAAACTAAACTGCAGATATCTTGGCTGCCATCCAAACCATCATGCAGCAAAATGGGACATTCTTACGGTTTTCCTGTCACTGAGTACTAGTAGCAAGAACAAAAAGCTATTGCTTCTGTAAGAACAGTTAATTTGAGAAGCCAAGCAGAAATGGTAATGCTTTAATAAAGCCACTTTATTGGAGAGAAATATTAACAGTCGAAGTTTGGCAGTAAATGCCATGGGCAAATTCATTTCATTTTGAGATGATGAAATTCCAGTTCTTTTTGATGAAGGATGATGTAATTTCTGCTAGTCGCTACTTATAATAAAAATAGTGTATATTAAAATATAATGCAAGAAAACAATTGCTTGCTTCCATTTCTCATTTCCGCTTCACATCTTTCATTTGGAAATGAGTATTTGAATATATTTCTAAAATATATTTATTTTTGAATGTGTTTATATTTGGGTGTAAATTTGAAATATGCTAGTAGTATCCAGTCATGGTTTTGGGATGGAAGAACAGAGATAGATAATAATGAGGTGTATCAATTTACCTAGGCCGTTCCAGGTTTTCAAGCTATTGCATGAAACTCTTATGTTGAGCGACTGACCTGTGTGATCTTGGGCAAGTCTCCTCACCTGCTCATGCCTCTTCTTCCTCTCTACTGTCCTATCTTCAGTTGTAAAGGCTTCAAAATAGGATTTTTTGCTTTTTGCACAGAACAGCAAGGGCAGTGAGCAGCGAGGGTTAGGAGTGGTCTCTATTTGGCCAGTAATATTTAATAATATACCTGTTTATACGGACTCAGCTTATTTTATATTCCTTTACCTTTTCAGAGTAATGTGGAATCAAGTGCTTATAACTTGGAGAAGTTGCATTGTTAGTGTAATAGATATGATGACTACGTGATATCTAGAAGATGCAGGTAATACAATTTGGTAGCCTTCCTTGTTTTTTCGGAAAATGTCTGCCAAAGAGAACCCTACAGTGGAGGTGGATGATGATAAAGATATGTGAGCTGAATCCTTCTGTATTGCAGGCTCATTTCTCTCATCTAAATTTGGATTTTCACAAGTTAGCAAAAAACATGGAGGCAAAATTCCAACAAATCCGTGATCAGCTGCAAGATGGTTATAACCCTGCCATGAGAAGTGAACGCAATAGATTAAAATCTTTCTTGTCCTATAAAGCTTATTCATGGTCTCAGACAGAAATGGCAGTTGCTGGGTTTTATCACGAGCGTTGAATCCCATGTGCAGTGTTCCTGCTGTGGATTAGTTTTACTTGCCACCAAAGTTAGATGTTCCCCATATGAACAACACAAGAGATTTTGTCCCACTTGTGAACTTGTTCTTGGCGAAGAGGTGGGTAATATTTCAAAGTATGGCATACGTGTTCAGAATTTGGCGAAGAACTCAGCAGAGCATATGTACTGATACAACGAGGAGGAAGCAAGACTTCAGTCCTTTGATGGGTGGCCGTCCTATGCCAGAGGAACACAGCCCGCTTTGCTTGCCAGAGCTGGATTTTTCTTTGCAGATAACTGAAAATGATGCTCAGAAAGATTTCCGTTTTGATTTATGAGACAGCGCAGGTTGGCTTACAATATTTAAATGGATGCAACAGTTGCAGGGTCTGGATTTTTTTTTATTAGCATGTAAAGTCTATATAATAATTTCAATCTCTGAATTTCAGTTCTTTTTTTTTTTTCTTTTTTCCCTGGAATGGCAGCATTGGCAAGGGCAGAACCTTTATTTTTATTACTCTCACTTACAAATTGTTCATGGCATATGGCTCAATTTGGTTGCCTTTGGTTCATTTCAGCAATTTCAGTTCATGTTGACTGATGAAATTTAGAGGCATTTCCCCTCCTACCTGTATAGCCAGGACTACTGGTCGTGCTGTGACTTCATACTTCTGTTTCAACATTGAATGGAACAAGAAATTTGTTAGAAGTTACCGTGGTTACAGACGACATAGCTGACCCTGTTGAGAAATATGCTCTGAGCCAGAACTTAGAAACTCTGGCAGAAGCACCGCTTTAGAGAGCACGGTGCAGAGAGTCTCAATGGCTCTACAGGAAGTTAGCGTGGGTTCAGAAAGGATGTTTAGGTCCAGTTCAACTTGGCCTAAGTTAACTTGAACTGCAAGTATTGACTTGCAGTCAAGTCTGCATGGTGTAACCTGAATGTCCCTTCACCACCCTCCAAACGACCCTTTTTAGTCTGCTATCAGACTGAGGATTTATTCATTTATTGATGCTGTGCTGGTATCAACACTAATATTCTTTCCAGACCTTGGAACACTAGGGATCATGGTAGAGAAATACCAGAATGTCTCTGCATAGAGTTAGGTCAGGTCCAGCAAGCTTTTTAAAAAGCTCAAGTTTATCACTTAATATATAAGTTTTTTATTTGCTGTACACAAGCTAACCTCACATATAACCAGATGGGTGCTGAGCCGACTGAAAGGATGATGAAGAGAGGCTGTGGGAGCTGGCTTACCCGGAAGGAGTGGTAGCACTTTTTGCATTATTTAGAAAATCTCAGGTTCCTATTAGTCCAGTTTAATGGATAGTTGACTGTATCTGACTTTTTGTGTACACAATCAGCAGTTCTGTAGTTTTGTCATGTTAATGTCATCCCTTCTTCAGGCATAACACTTGTTGAAAGCCAGTGTCTTCAAGAAGCAAAGAGCTTGACTGAGCAACTTATGAAGGCTTACGATGATAGTAGCTTCAGCAAATTGTTCTGCTTTGGAAATACAACCCATTTTGCCATTAATTTTCAAATTACTCTATGGGGACCTGTTAATTGTCTCAAAGCCAATGACTGGCTGATCATTGGCTGTCAATGATCAGCCGATAGAGCAGCTCTTTCTTCATGAAGTCCTTGAGAACCTCAACTGCACTATTGCTCTAGAAGGTGAAGCAGGAAGTGGAAAAACTGCATTGCTCAGGAAAATAGCTCTTCCTTGGGCCTCAGGCTGCTGCCTTGTTCTGGCCAGGTTTAAGTTTGTATTTTATCTCTCCCTGAAGTCAACAAGATCAGATCGGAGCGTGGTTGATGTTATATGCAAGCAATCGGTAGGATTTATGGGATCATTAAAAGAAACAACCAATTCAGTTCCCATAGTTATTGAAGAACTTATACAAAGGAGCCATCTCTACCAACGTTGGGTGTTGCTGTCTGTACTAACAGGACCAGAGAAATCCACAAGTATGCAAATACTACTCTAAGTATTGTGGAGTTTCCGCTGTCCAGCAATATATATGTAGTAAAGAAATTGTTCCCGTACACTATCGTCCTTGTGGAGAAGCTTCTCTTTAGGCTGCAGGCCGAAAAGTCCATGCAGACTGTTCTAAAGACACCACTTTTTATGGTGATTCTTGCTATGTATTGGATACAGCACCCAAAGGGAAATACATTCAGTGATAGGGCTATTTTTAAAGCTTACCTGCTCTATAACTTTCTAAAGTACAGGGAAGAAAGGGAACGTGTACTGGCTATGTTTTCCTCATGTGGTGAGCTTGCCTTAAGGGATCCGTTTTGACTTCACTGAATGTGATCTCACTGAAGCAGGCGTTGATGGAGATGAAGCTGTTAAATTGGGTCTACTGAGCAAATTCACTGCCCAAAGGCTTCATCCAGTTTATAAATTATTTCATCCCTTGTTCCAGGAGTTTCTTGCAGGGCGAAGAGTGAGCTCCTGGATTCTGATGTAAAAGAAAAACTGGAGAGAGGGCTGCACTACTTGCAGCAAATCGACACGTTCAGAAAAGCTGCTGGCTGCTGTTATTTTTTGTTAGTTGATGCTTGCAGCTTTCCTTCTAAAGCAGTCCCCCGGATCATATCCTATTTATTTAACTTGATCAACTGCAAGAGCTCATTGGAAAATCAGTCAGAAAATGATGAACATCTGCAGCACCATTCAGACCTTGCACTAATGATGTACTCAGTTGACCAGTTAAGGTTTCTTAGTCCCCAGCTCCTCCTTTCAGTTTTCATTGTGTTTTTACTGAACTTTGCAACCTCTGTAGCTTAAGAGAGTAATACTGTTTCTGCGTGTGCCCCAATCATTTTTCAGTTCCTAACAGGAGAAACATTTCATTAACTTGATTTGTGTCACCAAATGCATCTGTGTTGAAGTTCCTTGGGGACTACCCAGAACGCCTGTCTTTACCCAGTAGTTTTCAGGTCAGGGTACATAGAAGTAAACATGGACGAAAATGTAGTATGTCTGTAACATATAGCAGGTGCTATAATGTATAGCAGGTGCTATTCCTCACTGGAGGTTCCAATAACTAGTCGGGATTATGCTCCTGCGTTTACACTTCTTAATGACACAGCGCAAAGGATAGAAACACAGGAAGGTGGAATTAATGGGCTCTCTAATTCTAATTCCCTTTATCTTCCTGTTCCCTAGGTAGATGACAATCGTGTATTTGTGAATTCTTAGGCTGTCCTCTCTCATATGTGTTTCAGGTGGCAGGCACTCATTCTATCTTAACAGGTTTCCATTCTGAGCCCTAATTTCAAACTACTAGCCCTAATACTGCTTTCTGATCTGAAAGGTGTGTGTCACTTGAGAGGCAGAATCACACTTCAGCAGCGGGAACGCTGCTCTATCATTGAACAGCAACAGAGGACAAGCTAATAAACGCTGCTGGCTATGTGTTTTCTGCTTGGGGTGCTTTGAGTGAGTCTGCACTGGGCTTTCAAAACGGAGGAATACTGGACAGGGTGCATTGCAGGGGCACCTGTGGGGTTCTGCCAGGCTGCACGTGTGGGTTGCAAGCAGCAGAAATAGCAGCAGAGGATGAGTTGGCAGGGAAAGGCAACGGTGCCAGCAGGACAGGAAGCAGGCACCAGAAGGGAAGGGGAGGCAAGGCTGTGGGGAGGTGCAATAGTGAAGCTCAGCTACAAAAAGCTTGGCAAATTGTCAGAGAAACAAACGGATTAAGCTGATCAAACCAGTTTCATTGTACGTTTGTCTTTGATTTCTTCACTGAACTACTTTTTTTCAAATTTGGACAAATTTATCTGCCTGGAGGAACTGTCAGTGCTCCGATGTGACAATTGCAACATATTTTATAACAATACCTGAGGGCTTCAAAAATCTCTGTAACATGAAGAACTTGTTGATCAACCAAGTGAAGTTTGAAAACAGTTCTAGGCTGGGTGAGGTGCACTTGAAAACTTTTAAGTTCTGTGTTTCATTAGAACTTGTTAATACTTAGTAGCAGTTTTAATTTCTTAATAGGTGCGTAACCTCTCTCTGAGCTGACTTCCCTTTGCCTCTGCCTTGCATTTTTTTTGCTGTGATCTTAATCACCCCAACAAAAAAGAGCTGAGTATTTTAGGGAAATAAATAAACCTTGGGTTTAGTGCTGTAACTTGGGTAAGTCAGTCTGGAGCAATCATCAGCTGCACTTTGCTATTTGTTTCAGCAGAGTGAATATTTGTCCGTCTTGGTGCTCACAATCTGCCAAACTTTGGCAGAGAGAGCGAGCACAACTGGGAACTCAGTTCAGACCACGTGCATAGCAGCTCTGATAAGTCAGTGAGCAGGTCACGACTTCTGTTTCGGCTGTCTTATTCCAGAAAGAAGCTTACTTTTCAGTTCAAGGCCCCTAGGTAACTAATTTTTTGTATGTTGTTATAACAATTACCCATCCGTACTGGAAAATGTACATACAGTACAAACCAACAATATTCAGTGAGCTGTACACTCGACATCTGGCCAATTGATAGCACTTTACAGTGTACCTAATAACTGCAGGAAGGTGTTTAAAGTGTGTTAGTCACAGTAAATGTTGGAAAAACTATAGAGTGTTTTTCATATGTGAAAGAAAATGGAATCTATAGGAATTTGCTTTTAATTTAAGGCCAGAACAATTCATAAGGATTCTTGTTATAAAATAAAAAACATCTGATTTATACAAGTGGTGAATGTAAACGAAAGAAGATTCTGGTTGCTCTTCTGAGTGATAAGACAGGAATCACGCTGCGGCTTCCATTTGTCTTTGTATCTTTGTATCACACTTTCTTTTGCTGGGATGGAAGATGCATCCTTCTGTAGGATAGTTCACCGTATAGCTTTTTTTTTCCCCCGATTCTTTATTCACTGTACAATGAATCTTCTGTTTTACAACACTTTGTTTTGTAGCTGAATTAATTGAGAGTTTCCAAGACCTCTGTTTCTCATCTGGACTACTCTGGCTACTTTGATTCTGCATCCTTTCTGGCTGCACTTTCTTCATGCAAGAAATTAACAGAAATCAAGTTAATCCGATCGTTTTTTGAGAGAACAATACTTGCTTTCTTTAGGTAGGACAGCTATTTAATATAAAAAAAAAAACAAACCCTAATCTGTTAAATCTTAGTAGTTTAAAGAAACTACTAATTTGAAGTTGCAAGTATGATAATACAGACTTTTTTTCCTCTCCTAGCGGTTGCTCTGCCCAGTTTTGTCCAAAGTGTTAAGATCCAAAGTGTTGGATCTGAACAGTCCATTTTCTGAGAACAAGGAAGCTTCTGAAATTTTTGGTTTGTATCTATCTTCCTTTTCTGCTCATCTCATTTGTTGCATTGACAGAATTATTTTGTTTCAAATCCTTCTGGAAATCTCATTAAATGCCAGTGCACCAACAATGCTGTCTTTTGTCCAGCGTGTTTCTCGACTGCCTGGCCTTGTGACAATAGGAATGCTGGGGTGGCTAATTGATGCAGAGGCCCTTAAAATGTTTGATATCATGAAAGAGCAGCATCCCCAGTCCAGGAGTTTAAAATTATCCTGACAATGGCTCTTGCTGTTTTCACCAAGTATTCAAGACTAGAAAAGTCTGAAAGTGTTGGGTTTTTTTCACCTGTATTATGAGTTAGACACCTGCATTGCAAATAAACATATACTGTAAAATTTTAACTGAGATGAAATATGTCAGTCTCTTCTACAGCCGTGTTTGTTAAGACAATGTGAAAGGATCACAGAACTGAAGATGGGATTAATGTTGGAAAACTTGACTGGCTTTGCAAGTTTATTTATAGATTGCACCTAAGTGATAGCTTTCACAGAAGAATGAAGCTTCCTTAACTAGTACAATTTTGCTTAGAGCCCGTTTATTTCTATTGTTTTGCTTGCAATGAAATCAGTGACATGACTCTTCATCGTGAAATAAAAAACCATAAAACCATTTATAGTCATGATTGCATTAAACACACTATTGGACACCAGATTTCACTAGCTCTAAAAACCGATGACGGTGACTTTCTGTAACTTAATGCCAGATACTAGCACATACCTCATTTACAGAGGGACGTTTATGGGAGGGACAATTTATGCTTCTTTCTTTAGCAATTGCTAAAACTACTAAATAACAGTTGCTGAACTGTTGACTTAGAACCTTTGCATCACTGCAAAGCAGAGCAGTCTTAGTTTACTTTATCTAGGCAATGAAAGAAAAGCCTTCAACGTGGCTTAGGAGAGTTAAGACTTCAGTTTATGCCTTTCTCTTTTCGCTCGACTATTTGTGGGAAAATTATTCTTCTGAGGTTCACCACCACAGGGAAAGGACTGAATACAGCAGAATTCAGGCCCATATTTGGCTAGTTTACCTGAAATGCAAACTGCTGCTGCTGCTAACTAAATCATTGTCTAGTTTTGTGGCTGCAGCCTTCATTCTACAAGAGTTAAGACTGAAAGGGCTCAGGTATAAATTCATACTTTCTATTACCTTTCCCTAGCCTGATTTTTTCTGTGTTGGTTTTAGTATGGTACCATAGGAGTAGTTAAAAAGGCCACACAGCAAAAACTTGCTGTCATATTTCAGCAACTCATATAGCAGAAAGACTTTTATGGAAACTAAAAAAACAATTACACAAAAAAACCACCCCTAAATGCAAAGTTTGAAAGTAAACTTTATTCACAGTGAAACAAAGATTAATTTTTCTTGAGTTCAGCTATCATTCAGGATTCTGATCCTAACCATAAAAATAGGTATCTCTCTTAATATGGTGGTGTACTATTTTCCAGGTCATTGCCATCAGCGGCCACAGTAACATACACTGCTGCCCTACTGTGTCTTGGCAGAAAATACTGTACTTGCTTGTTCTATTGAAAAGCACTGGGATTGTAATTCAGATCAAGAAATTTAGATCAAAAGTCTAAGGAGTACAAGATAAAATAGTTACAAGAGGTGTTAAATTGAGGAATGAAAGAAATCTAGCAAGTATTTTTTTTTAATTCACATTAGGCTTAAAATTGTTTCAAGGAGCTAAAGAGCATTTTATTGCTGCAGTACTTACTAAATATACGTTTGACTGGAGGTCTTTAAGAAATAGTCTGTTTCAATGCACATAGAATTACTAGTCTCCAGTAATTTGTCTACTAGTTATCACTATTAACAAAACGTTAAGGTTGTCTTGATAAAATTCTGCTCTTCACCATCAACCAATTCACAAGTGATATACCCCTCTCCGTGGGAGAGATCTGTACCTGGCTGTAAAAGAGAAACAGAAATTAAGTCAGTACTTTTTTTTTTTTTTAAACACAAATAACTCATCTGCACAGCAATGAGATGATTGTCAAACTCAGAAAAAAACAGTAAGGGACAGAATATAGTTTTGTTCTGTAAGGAACTGAACACAGTATTGGAGAGTTCTAAACAAATAACTTTGGATAAAAGCACAGACAAAAGTAACGCGCAGGAAATAATTCAAAATAGCAGGGAATAATTCAATGGAATATATAAATTAAATGTGATCTTGTCCTGAAAACAAAACTTAACTAGACTTCCTTCTTCATAAAGAAGTAGTTGTTTCTGAAGATGCGTACATAGCTGTGAAAACTGCATTTCACTTAACATCTTATTTTCAAAATCGCTCATAAACAGATAATTAAGACAGCTACTTTAACTAAGTCAGTCAACTGCCTTGTTAAATCTGATGTAGAGAGATAAGAAAACACTTTCCTTCTGTATGGCCAGGAAAATACTATTCCGTTGCTAGTAAGCAAGAAGGGATCAATAGTAGCAGAAACTGAGGCATGAGAGCAGCGGCAATTCTTGGAGCCCAAAGTGTTTGAATATGGATGTCAAACTCTCTAAGAGCTTGTGACACAAACTGTAATTTCAAACAAATTTATCAGCTAACAGTGTATCTTTCTATAGCACAAAATTACAATACTTACAATCCTTCAAGGCAGTGATGGATATTCAGTTATTTAGAATGGGGTTCTCTCTCTAGAGCAGCTTCCATTCGACTCTGCTTTAAACCCTACAGGATGCAATTTAACAAAATCCTGTTTTTACTAACATGAAAATAAAAGCTTAAGCCACAGAATAAAAACATTTTAGGACTTTTTTTTTTTTTTCAGTCCTTTACAAATCAAGAGTAGCTTTTAAATCTTTAGGGATATCAGAACTGGAGGATTAAAAAGGATAGATGCCAAACTGTACGCCTTCATCATAATCAGTGTCTCTGCACAATAATTTCAGATCAGTATTTGGTGTACAATGAAAAATAAACTAAAGAAATCCACAGTTATGTAATCTGTGGCAAGACATTCCAAAGTTAGTCTTCTGAAAAAATCCTAAACAGCCACGGTCCCATTCCCCAACCTCCCCAATGCCAGCAGTTGAATTCCTTCTGTAATTTTCTTCCTTAGTAAGTAAGCGTATAAAGAAAACAGAAATCAATCCTCTGTCATAGATTTTTCATAGCTACACTTGCAGCTCATGCCAGACATCCACAATTGCCTGAAACAATTATTAAAGAATGAAGTCTTTTCAAAAAGAAAATCCAAAGGAAACTATTGAATAATAATAATAATATTCAGATTTACACTACTTGTCCACAAAACCAGAACTGCTTGTTTCAGGGCAGTCACACTGGCTCTACCAGGGCCTAACAGGACACCTGTGGAACAAAGACCTAAACCAACGTTGACCGTACGTACCTGTGTGACTTATGTATGTGACTTAAGGAGAAAAGCATCTTCGCCTACTCAAAGATGAGAATACTTACCCTTAAGTCTAGCTAGCGTGTTAGAATAACAAACAAACAGGGCCAAAACCCAACATTCCCCGTTAACTTTTTGCTGAAAGCAGCAGCAGCGACACTAGAGCAAGATTACAAAGACATTTCAAAATAGAAGTAGCACATACCAGGTAATACCCAGTGTGATAGCCACTCATGTACCAGGCTATCAACATACTCCCCAGTGCTTCATCGTCCTCAGGAGAATCTGGCCCCATAGGTGGTGGAGGAGGAATCAGCTAAGAAATTACAAAATAAAGTGTGAGTTGTGTTTCAGTGGGGCACATTCTGGGTTAGGTAGCAACCAAATCTAAGTGATCAACACATACAACTGAAAAACAAGAACATATCCTCAAAACAGTCTTTAAAAGGCAGTCAGATAAGAGTTGATGTTTTCTGAAAACACTTAGTTGCCAAAGCCTGGGAGAAATAGGTTTCTTGTAGCTTGACTGTTTACATAAGTTTTATTTAGGAAAAATAGTTGCCTCTATCGGTGAAATGCTGTTAATCAAGTGAAAGGTATACAACCCATTTAAGAATTTATTTCTCTTCATACAGATGATTTTTCTCTTAATATTCTTACTAACAGCTTTGCTGTCACAAAAAATGAGTACATGTCATGCTTTACACATTCGATTCCTGTGATACTGTAATTGGGTGCATGGACAGTACCCAGAAAATACACTCCAATAAATGCGTTCTAAAAACACAGCAGACCAGTACATTCCGCTAGAAAACTGGAGATCAGCAATACCTATCTGACATTTTCTCCTCACTCTGCTATCACTTACCGGTGGTCCTGTTGGGAAGGGTGGGGGCCAGCATGACAAAAATGGTGGAGAGGCACTGAATTTTGATCCAAGCTATATTGAAATAATTGAATAGTGCGAGTTAAAAAAATGTAAGGCGTTAGGATTTTATTTAAGAGAATTATTTGAAACAAACCATAAACCCTAACGAAAGGCAACGTATCACAACAATTTAATGAAACAGCAATAAGAACACACAGTAGCTAATTATTTCAGGTCAGTATTCCCTGACTGGAGAAGTAAAACTTACATTACTTATGCCATTGGAGGTCAAGGAACTGAAACAGGGTACTATTTAATATAAGCATTTTTGTTTTCTAAAGAGAGAGAAGTCTGTGGTTGCACTCTCATGTGAAGAAACTTTATATTCTCCGCTGGCAGATAACTTCTCCATTCCTGTGTGTCTGGGGACACATGCTGACTAAATTCACTTCTATGTTTAAACATGGAACATGCCACTTCCATTATGCTCATGTGCATATTTCTTTAATATGAGCATAGATACAAAACTGTTAGATGCAAGAGAAACATAAAAGAAAGCCTTACATAAAAATCTTGCACAAATGGCAATATTTAGAAAACAACATGCAATGTTTAGCTGCACTATTGTTTAGACCTTTACACAGTGAATGCTGCAGAGCGGAACCCCAGCCCTGGTGAGTCAATAGAGAAGCTACAGCTGACAGCGACCTTCTGCGACAGTGGGACATCACTATCGCTGCCTACAGTGTCACGTGTAGTAGTGAGATGTATGAACTGGCTTGTAAATGTGCATTTTAAAGCATCAACAGTACAGTTATTAACAGCACCATCACTGTCCAGGGCACAAAATCCCTCCTTTAAGTTACATTTTACAGTCCAGATAATAAAACTTGCACCAGACCACTGCAAAGCAAATGTTACCTAGAAAGAACGCTTTCTCACTAGACAGCAACTCTGCGGAGGGTCTACACCGTGGCCAGATATTAGCAAATTCTGTACTTGTAAGTTCTAATAGGCATACCTGTATATACGTAACTGGATTTTGTAAGGAAGTCTCAAAAAGCTAGAATTTAGTTTCTAGACAGCGTAAATATCCTCCTATTGTCTCACGACTGAGACAGTAGAATTAACAGTGGTATAGGATTTATTTCTGATAAGGCTGAGCTTACCTTTCCCAGGCCTGGAGCTGCAGGGGGTATGGGAAAACGTGAGTTTCGAGGAGAGAATCTAGCTTTTGCGCAGTTTTTGTTTCGAGGTGACTGGGAAGATTTTTCACTTTCATCTGTTGAATATTGAGTCTCATTCTCATTCTAGAAGACCAAGACATGTTTTTATGACATACATTAAACAGCAATCTACAGCAAGTAGTTTCAGTGTAAAACTGTACTTGGAAAGCCCTGTCCACATCTTTCCCTCTCTCTAGCCTCCCAGTTCTATTGTCAGTTCTCTAGACCACTCGGGAAGTACCCGACAATCTTATCATCTTCCTTGCTCATCATTTTAGCCATGTTATCTTTCACTTACAGGTTTCTTCACTGCCCTCTCCCTTTCATCCATATTGAATTCAAGTGGATGCTTTCATTCCCTCTTTTAGTTTGTGTCCCTTCACAACAGAAATGTGTTTTGATTCTCACATACCCTGTCTCACCACTGCAGTGGTAGCAGAAATACTCAAAAAGTTGACTCTCCTGCTTTCTCTTTCCTTTTCAGTGGAACAAAAAAGTGTCCTCTCACCTCCCCAGAATTCCCCATCTCATTTACTGTTTCATCGTTGGCTGGAGGAAGTAAATCAGAGAGGTTCTGCTCTTCCTTATTTCCATATCCAGTGTAAATGACAACGCATGTCCCCCTCTTCTGATTAATTGAGGCAATAGTTGCTAGGTATACATTGCCATCCTCAGACCAAACAGCGTTACAGCTGTCACCAACTTTCCACTGGAACAGAAGCGAGAGAGGCTGGTAAGAACCTGTACCAAGGATCACGGAAAAAGATGCCTTTTTGCAAACATAACTTTTGCCCCCAACCTTGAGAAATATGCCTCTCATTCAGAAAGATTCTTCCTTTGTATATAGCTAAAGTGCTCAATATAACAGCTTCCTATAAACAAGATCTAAAGCACTACTGCACCCACATTTTCAAGAGGGAGAAAAAGCTACTTTTTAGTACAGCCAGAAACAAACACGCAGAACAGTCATTTGAATTTACAGCTGAGGTGACCTGTTTTGATAGCGTTGTGTTGCTTTTCTTTCTACTTCGGTTTTTTTTGTTGTTTTTTCTCTTCGTCCCCGAGCACTGCTCCTGCTTGTCCGAAGGCTCTGAACACTCCCCGTTCTTCAAAGCATTCTTCAGAAGAAAGAAAAACAAAGAAAGCCCGTGAGCTATTGCCTGATATCCAGCTACTGCATGGATTTACAGCAGAGCTACGAGAGCAGTCAAGGGGCAAAGCGGGAGCACGCCTCAACATTGTGTTTTTGCCACACTGACGGATTTTTTTTTTTTTAAGACATCGCTATGTTTATACGTGTATCTCTGAGTAGTCCCTGGTAAGCCCCCCGCCCCCTGCAGTTAATTGGCTCAACTTTGGGTTTTTTTTTTCTCATTAGAGGTAAGTACCAAAGCACGAGGGTGGCCACCGGCACCGCCCCGGGGAAGAGCAGCGCGGG